AGTTTACGATCTAAGAGGGAGGGGCCGATCCTGGGAGTTTACGATCTAAGAGGGAGGGGCTTTTCCTGGGAGTTTACGATCTAAGAGGGAGGGGGCCGATCCTGGGAGCTTATGATCTAAGAGGGAGGGGCTGATCTGGGAGCTTACGATCTAAGAGGGAGGGGCCGATCCTGGGAGCTTACGATCTAAGAGGGAGGGGCTGATCCTGGGAGCTTACGATCTAAGAGGGAGGGGCTGATCCTCGGAGCTTACGATCTAAGAGGGAGGGGCTGATCCTGGGAGCTTACGATCTAAGGGAGGGGCTGATCCTGGGAGCTTACGATCTAAGAGGGAGGGGCTGATCCTGGGAGCTTACGATCTAAGAGGGAGGGACTGATCCTGGGAGCTTACGATCTAAGAGGGAGGGACTGATCCTGGGAGCTTACAATCTAAGAGGGAGGGGCCTGATCCTGGGAGCTTACAATCTAAGAGGGAGGGACTGATCCTGGGAGCTTACGATCTAAGAGGGAGGGACTGATCCTGGGAGCTTACGATCTAAGAGGGAGGGACTGATCCTGGGAGCTTACACTGTAAGAGGGAGGGGCTGATCCTGGGAGCTTACAATCTAAGAGGGAGGGGCTGATCCTGGGAGCTTACAATCTAAAAGGGAGGGGCTAGTGGTACAAAAGGTAGTAACTGTGGGGGATGGACTTGTTGGAAGAGTAGAAGATTCCATTATTAGCTGAGGGCAGGATAGGCTTCCCTGAAGAGATCGATTTTCAGAGATCGCCTAAAAGTGAGCAGAGTAGGCGATAGTCTGATAAATTGGGGTAGAGAGTTCCAGAGATGGGGGAAGCTCTGGAGAAGTCCTGGAGACAAGCATGGGAGGAGGAGATAAGGGAGCTAGAGAGCAGGAGGTTGTGCGAGGAGCGGAGAGGACGGTTTGGGTGATATTTGGAGACAAGATCGGTGATGTTGCACATTCCAGTTCACCTACAAAGGAATGAAGATCAGGATTTGCTGACATTAAAATACATATAAAAAAGTTGAAGGAAACATTGCAAGAAAAGTGGAGGCGATAAACGACGCTCACTGTCACTCTCCCCATTTGCTGGCATTGGGGGGGGGGGGGGCAATGGTTCTTCGGCTTTCTCTTCGCTTTGCTGTTTCTTATTTTGCTTGAATAAATCGTTGTATAATCAGGAAATCGTCCAAAAAGCAGATAAAAGGCCGTTCCAGCCATTAACAGGCATCTTCCCGCTAACCTCATTCCTGATCCCGCGCACTCCCCAGCCCCCCCTCCTGATATCTTTAATTATTGTTTTTCTTGTTTTCTGCACAGTTATGTAAAAGTCTAATTATGGGATTAATTATTTTTACTGGAAGGACAAAAGCAGGGAAGCATGGACAGGGATGGTCAGGGATGGGGACCTTGTATTGTGTTGGTGACTCAATCCTCTTCATCTACGGAGAATTCTTTATACACAATTATCTTTTATCTCTTCTACAGAAACATTATAGTAACACTATTTTTAGTATCTTTGTCTGTGAAGAAATATACAAATTCTGTTTAAAAGTGGAAGAAAAACAAATCAGTTCATCTCATATCATGTTTACCACAGGACTATCATTCTCCACCATTTTAAATCCGCTCCCCTTCAGTCTTGTACAGGTGTACCGGCTCCTCCCCTTCAGTCTTGCACAGGTGTACCGGCTCCTCCCCTTCAGTCTTGCACAGGTGTACCGGCTCCTCCCCTTCAGTCTTGCACAAGTGTACCGGCTCCTCCCCTTCAGTCTTGCACAGGTGTACCGGCTCCTCCCCTTCAGTCTTGCACAGGTGTACCGGCTCCTCCCCTTCATTCTTGCACAGGTGTTCCGGCTCCTCCCCTTCAGTCTTGCACAGGTGTACCGGCTCCTCCCCTTCAGTCTTGCACAAGTGTACCGGCTCCTCCCCTTCAGTCTTGCACAGGTGTACCGGCTCCTCCCCTTCAGTCTTGCACAGGTGTACCGGCTCCTCCCCTTCAGTCTTGCACAGGTGTACCGGCTCCTCCCCTTCAGTCTTGCACAGGTGTACCGGCTCCTCCCCTTCTGTCTTGCACAGGTGTACCGGCTCCTCCCCTTCAGTCTTGCACAGGTGTACCGTCTCCTCCCCTTCATTCTTGCACAGGTGTTCCGGCTCCTCCCCTTCATTCTTGCACAGGTGTTCCGGCTCCTCCCCTTCAGTCTTGCACAGGTGTTCCGGCTCCTCCCCTTCAGTCTTGCACCGGTGTACCGGCTCCTCCCCTTCAGTCTTGCACAAGTGTACCGGCTCCTCCCCTTCAGTCTTGCACAGGTGTACCGGCTCCTCCCCTTCAGTCTTGCACAGGTGTACCGGCTCCTCCCCTTCAGTCTTGCACAGGTGGTGTACCGGCTCCTCCCATTCAGTCTTGCACAGGTGTACCGGCTCCTCCCCTTCAGTCTTGCACAGGTGTACCGGCTCCTCCCCTTCAGTCTTGCACAGGTATACCGGCTCCTCCCCTTCAGTCTTGCACAGGTGTACCGGCTCCTCCCCTTCATTCTTGCACAGGTGTTCCGGCTCCTCCCCTTCATTCTTGCACAGGTGTTCCGGCTCCTCCCCTTCAGTCTTGCACAGGTGTACCGGCTCCTCCCCTTCAGTCTTGCACAAGTGTACCGGCTCCTCCCCTTCAGTCTTGCACAGGTGTACCGGCTCCTCCCCTTCAGTCTTGCACAGGTGTACCGGCTCCTCCCCTTCAGTCTTGCACAGGTGTACCGGCTCCTCCCCTTCAGTCTTGCACAGGTGTACCAGCTCCTCCCCTTCAGTCTTGCACAGGTGTTCCGGCTCCTCCCCTTCAGTCTTGCACAGGTGTACAGGCTCCTCCCCTTCAGTCTTGCACAAGTGTACCGCCTCCTCCCCTTCAGTCTTGCACAGGTGTACCGTCTCCACCCCTTCAGTCTTGCACAGGTGTACCAGCTCCTCCCCTTCAGTCTTGCACAGGTGTTCCAGCTCCTCCCCTTCAGTCTTGCACAGGTGTACAGGCTCCTCCCCTTCAGTCTTGCACAAGTGTACCGGCTCCTCCCCTTCAGTCTTGCACAGGTGTACCGTCTCCTCCCCTTCAGTCTTGCACAGGTGTACCGGCTCCTCCCCTTCAGTCTTGCACAAGTATACCGGCTCCTCCCCTTCAGTCTTGCACAGGTGTACCGGCTCCTCCCCTTCAGTCTTGCACAGGTGTACCGGCTCCTCCCCTTCAGTCTTGCACAGGTGTACCAGCTCCTCCCCTTCAGTCTTGCACAGGTGTTCCGGCTCCTCTCCTTCAGTCTTGCACAGGTCCCCTTCAGTCTTGCACAGGTGTACCGGCTCCTCCCCTTCAGTCTTGCACAGGTGTACCAGCTCCTCCCCTTCAGTCTTGCACAGGTGTTCCAGCTCCTCCCCTTCAGTCTTGCACAGGTGTACAGGCTCCTCTCCTTCAGTCTTGCACAGGTGTACTGGCTCCTCCCCTTCAGTCTTGCACAGGTGTACCGGCTCCTCCCCTTCAGTCTTGCGCAGGTGTACCGGCTCCTCCCCTTCAGTCTTGCGCAAGTGTACCGGCTCCTCCCCTTCAGTCTTTCACAGGATTCTCAGCTCCTCCCTTTCAGTCTTGCACAGGTGTACCCCAAGTATTGTCCCCGCCCCCCCATATATACACTATATTGCCCCAAGTATTGGGCTGCCGGCCTTTCCACACACATGACCTTTAATGGCCCCCCAGTCTTAGTCCGTAGGGTTCAATATTGAGTTGACCCCGCCCTTTCCACACACATGACCTTTAATTGTCCTCCAGTCTTAGTCCGTAGGGTTCAATATTGAGTTGGCCCCGCCCTTTCCACACACATGACCTTTAATGGCCCCCCCAGTCTTAGTCCGTAGGGTTCAATATTGAGTTGGCCCCGCCCTTTGCAGCTATAACAGCTTCAACTCTTCTGGGAAGGCCCCCCACAAGGTTTAGGAGGGTGTCTATGGGAAGGTTGGACCATTCTTCCAGAAGCACATTTGTCAGGTCAGGCACTGATGTCGGGGGAGGGGGCCTGGCTCGCAGTCTCCGCCCTAATTCATCCCAAAGGTGTTCTATGGGGTTGAGGTCAGGACTCTGTGCAGGACAGTCAAGTTCCTCCACCCCAAACTGGCTCCTCCATGTCTTTATGGACCTTGCTTTGTGCACTGGTGGGCAGTCATGTTGGAACAGGAAGGGGCCATCCCCAAACTCTTCCCACAAAGTTGGGAGCATGAAATTGTCCAAAATGTCACCTTAAGAGTTCCCTTCACTGGAACTAGGGGGCCAAGCCCAACCCCTGAAAAACAACCCCACACCATAATCCCCCCTCCACCAAACTTTACACTTGGCACAATGCAGTCAGGCAAGTACCGTTCTCCTGGCAACCACCAAACCCAGACACGTCCATCGGATTGCCAGACAGAGAGAAGCGTGATTGGTCACTCCAGAGGACACGTCTCCTCTGCTCTAGAGTCCAGTGGCGGCGTGCTTTACACCACGGCATCCGACGCTTTGCATTGCACTTGGTGATGGAAGGCTTGGATGCAGCTGCTCGGCCATGGAAACCCATTCCATGAAGCTCTCTACACACTGTTGTTGGGCTCATCTGAAGGCCACACCAAGTTTGGAGGTCTTTAGCTATTGACTCTGCAGACAGTTGGTGACTTCTGCGCACTGTGCGCTTCAGCATGCGCTGACCCCGCCCTGTCATGTGACGTGACCTACCACTTGGTGGCTGAGTGGCTGTTGTTCCCAGTTGCTTCCACTTTGTTATAATCCCACTAACAGTTGAGCGTGAATATTTAGTAGCCAGGAAATGTCACGGATGGACTTATTGCCCAGGTGGCCACCTATCACGGGACCACGCTTGGAGTCACTGAGCTCCTGAGAGCGACCCATTCTTTCACCAATGTTTGTAGAAGCCGTCTGCATGCCTAGGAGCTTGATTGTATACACCTGTGTCCATGGAGGGGATTGGAACACCTGAATCACATGATATGGAGGGGATTGGAACACCTGAATCACATGATATGGAGGGGATTGGGACACCTGAATCACATGATATGGAGGGGATTGGAACACCTGAATCACATGATATGGAAGGGGTTGGAACACCTGAATCACATGATTGGGAGGGGATTGGAACACCTGAATCACATGATTGGGAGGGAATTGGAACACCTGAATCACATGATATGTAGGGGATTGGAACACCTGAATCACGTGATATGGAGGGGATTGGAACACCTAAATCATGTGATATGGAGGGGATTGGAACACATGTATCACATGATTGGGAGGGGATTGGAACACCTGAATCACATGATATGGAGGGGATTGGAACACCTGAATCACATGATTGGGAGGGGATTGGAACACCCGAATCACATGATTGGGAGGGGATTGGAACACCTGAATCACATGATTGGGAGGGGATTGGAACACCTGAATCACATGATATGGAGGGGATTGGAACACCTGAATCACATGATTGGGAGGGCAGGACCAAAACTTAGGATAATATAGTTTTGGTCTATTTGATATTCGGAAGGTTATATTCTATTTTATTCTATACTATTGTTTAATTCGCTTTTGGAATTAATTTCTTTTATTCATTTCCTAATTCGATTCTAATTCAGTTCGACTGAATTCTGAAAATTCTTATCAGTATTCAAATTTATTCTATTCAGAATTTGAAAGATGATTTTGTTCCCTCTATTTTATTATATTATATTATTTTCTATTCTTTTCACATGTATTCTATTCCAAATTCGACTTCTGTAAAATGATTATATTTCTGCTTTACTCTATTCTATTGTTTTGTTTCCTATTCCATCCTTTTCTAGTCTCATGTAATCTATTCTATCCGAAATTCAAATTTCAGAAGGTTACATTCTATTTTATTCTATTGTTTTTTTTTTCTATTCTATTCTCTTTTTTTCTATTCTTTTATGTTCTACTGTTTTTGTTTTGGAATTCGAGTTGAATTGCATTAGAATCCCAGTCAGATTCAAATTTTGTTTCATTGTTTGGATTCCTTACTATTGTAATTCGGATACATCTGAATTTTTGAATAACAAAAAATTTTGTCCGAATTTCGATTCAGAAAGAAACAAACCGCATGTGTCCCGTATTCCGAAATGTACAAAATATAACTGAATACTGACATGTATAGGTAATACCGCCAGGGGTAGGTGATCCCGGGAATATCTGGTTGTAGGTGATCCCGGGAATATCTGGTTGCAGTGATCCCGGGAATATCTGGTTTGTAGGTGATCCCGGGAATATCTGGTTGCAGTTGATCCCGGGAATGTCTGGTTGCAGTTGATCCCGGGAATCCCAGGATCCCGGGAATATCTGGTTGCAGGTGATCCCGGGAATATCTGGTTGCAGGTGATCCCGGGAATATCTGGTTGCAGGTGATCCCGGGAATATCTGGTTGCAGGTGATCCCGGGAATATCTGGTTGTAGGTGATCCCGGGAATATCTGGTTGTAGGTGATCCCGGGAATATCTGGTTGCAGGTGATCCCGGGAATATCTGGTTGTAGGTGATCCCGGGAATATCTGGTTGCAGGTGATCCCGGGAATATCTGGTTGCAGGTGATCCCGGGAATATCTGGTTGCAGGTGATCCCGGGAATATCTGGTTGTAGGTGATCCCGGGAATATCTGGTTGTAGGTGATCCCGGGAATATCTGGGAATATCTGGTTGTAGGTGATCCCGGGAATATCTGGTTGTAGGTGATCCCGGGAATATCTGGTTGTAGGTGATCCCGGGAATATCTGGTTGTAGGTGATCCCGGGAATATCTGGTTGCAGGTGATCCCGGGAATATCTGGTTGTAGGTGATCCCGGGAATATCTGGTTGTAGGTGATCCCGGGAATATCTGGTTGTAGGTGATCCCGGGAATATCTGGTTGTAGGTGATCCCGGGAATATCTGGTTGTAGGTGATCCCGGGAATATCTGGTTGCAGGTGATCCCGGGAATATCTGGTTGTAGGTGATCCCGGGAATGTCTGGTTGCAGTGATCCCGGGAATATCTGGTTGCAGGTGATCCCGGGAATATCTGGTTGCAGGAGATCCCGGGAATATCTGGTTGTAGGTGATCCCGGGAATATCTGGTTGTAGGTGATCCCGGGAATATCTGGTTGCAGGATCCCGGGAATATCTGGTTGCAGGTGATCCCGGGAATATCTGGTTGTAGGTGATCCCGGGAATATCTGGTTGTAGGTGATCCCGGGAATATCTGGTTGCAGGTGATCCCGGGAATATCTGGTTGTAGGTGATCCCGGGAATATCTGGTTGCAGGTGATCCCGGGAATATCTGGGTTGTAGGTGATCCCGGGAATATCTGGTTGCAGGTGATCCCGGGAATATCTGGTTGCAGGTGATCCCGGGAATGTCTGGTTGTAGGTGATCCCGGGAATATCTGGTTGCAGGTGATCCCGGGAATATCTGGTTGCAGTGATCCCGGGAATATCTGGTTGCAGGTGATCCCGGGAATATCTGGTTGCAGGTGATCCCGGGAATATCTGGTTGCAGGTGATCCCGGGAATATCTGGTTGCAGGTGATCCCGGGAATATCTGGTTGTAGGTGATCCCGGGAATATCTGGTTGCAGGTGATCCCGGGAATATCTGGTTGCAGGTGATCCCGGGAATATCTGGTTGCAGGATGATCCCGGGAATATCTGGTGAGGTGATCCCGGGAATATCTGGTTGTAGGTGATCCCGGGAATATCTGGTTGCAGGTGATCCCGGGAATATCTGGTTGCAGTTGATCCCGGGAATATCTGGTTGCAGGTGATCCCGGGAATATCTGGTTGTAGGTGATCCCGGGAATATCTGGTTGTAGGTGATCCCGGGAATATCTGGTTGCAGGTGATCCCGGGAATATCTGGTTGTAGGTGATCCCGGGAATATCTGGTTGTCAGGTGATCCCGGGAATATCTGGTTGCAGGTGATCCCGGGAATATCTGGTTGCAGGTGATCCCGGGAATATCTGGTTGTGGTAATATCTGGTTGTAGGTGATCCCGGGAATATCTGGTTGCAGGTGATCCCGGGAATATCTGGTTGCAGGTGATCCCGGGAATATCTGGTTGCAGGTGATCCCGATCCCTGGGAATATCCCGGGTTGTAGGTGATCCCGGGAATATCTGGTTGTAGGTGATCCCGGGAATATCTGGTTGCAAGTGATCCCGGGAATATCTGGTTGCAGGTGATCCCGGGAATATCTGGTTGTAGGTGATCCCGGGAATATCTGGTTGCAGGAGATCCCGGGAATATCTGGTTGTAGGTGATCCCGGGAATATCTGGTTGTAGGTGATCCCGGGAATATCTGGTTGCAGGAGATCCCGGGAATATCTGGTTGTAGGTGATCCCGGGAATATCTGGTTGTAGGTGATCCCGGGAATATCTTGTTGCAGGAGATCCCGGGAATATCTGGTGCAGGTGATCCCGGGAATATCTGGTTGCAGGTGATCCCGGGAATATCTTGTTGCAGGTGATCCCGGGAATATCTGGTTGCAGGTGATCCCGGGAATATCTGGTTGTAGGTGATATCTGGTTGCCCGGGAATATCTGGTTGTAGGTGATCCCGGGAATATCTGGTTGTAGGTGATCCCGGGAATATCTGGTTGCAGGTGATCCCGGGAATATCTGGTTGTAGGTGATCCCGGGAATATCTGGTTGTAGGTGATCCCGGGAATATCTGGTTGCAGGAGATCCCGGGAATATCTGGTTGTAGGTGATCCCGGGAATATCTGGTTGCAGGTGATCCCGGGAATATCTGGTTGCAGGTGATCCCGGGAATATCTGGTTGCAGGTGATCCCGGGAATATCTGGTTGTAGGTGATCCCGGGAATATCTGGTTGCAGGTGATCCCGGGAATATCTGGTTGTGATCCGGGGGAGGTTGTAGTGATCCCGGGAATATCTGGTTGTAGGTGATCCCGGGAATATCTGGTTGCAAGTGATCCCGGGAATATCTGGTTGCAGGTGATCCCGGGAATATCTGGTTGTAGGTGATCCCGGGAATATCTGGTTGCAGGAGATCCCGGGAATATCTGGTTGTAGGTGATCCCGGGAATATCTGGTTGTAGGTGATCCCGGGAATATCTGGTTGCAGGAGATCCCGGGAATATCTGGTTGTAGGTGATCCCGGGAATATCTGGTTGTAGGTGATCCCGGGAATATCTTGTTGCAGGAGATCCCGGGAATATCTGGTTGCAGGTGATCCCGGGAATATCTGGTTGTAGGTGATCCCGGGAATATCTTGTTGCAGGTGATCCCGGGAATATCTGGTTGCAGGTGATCCCGGGAATATCTGGTTGTAGGTGATCCCGGGAATATCTGGTTGCAGGTGATCCCGGGAATGTCTGGTTGCAGTTGATCCCGGGAATGTCTGGTTGCAGTTGATCCCGGGAATATCTGGTTGCAGGTGATCCCGGGAATATCTGGTTGCAGGTGATCCCGGGAATATCTGGTTGCAGGTGATCCCGGGAATATCTGGTTGCAGGTGATCCCGGGAATATCTGGTTGTAGGTGATCCCGGGAATATCTGGTTGTAGGTGATCCCGGGAATATCTGGTTGTAGGTGATCCCGGGAATATCTGGTTGCAGTTGATCCCGGGAATATCTGGTTGTAGGTGATCCCGGGAATATCTTGTTGCAGGTGATCCCGGGAATATCTGGTTGTAGGTGATCCCGGGAATATCTGGTTGCAGTTGATCCCGGGAATATCTGGTTGCAGTTGATCCCGGGAATATCTGGTTGCAGGTGATCCCGGGAATATCTGGTTGCAGGAGATCCCGGGAATATCTGGTTGTAGGTGATCCCGGGAATATCTGGTTGTAGGTGATCCCGGGAATATCTGGTTGTAGGTGATCCCGGGAATATCTGGTTGCAGGTGATCCCGGGAATATATCTGGTTGTAGGTGATCCCGGGAATATCTGGTTGTAGGTGATCCCGGGAATATCTGGTTGTAGGTGATCCCGGGAATATCTGGTTGCAGTTGATCCCGGGAATATCTGGTTGTAGGTGATCCCGGGAATATCTGGTTGCAGGTGATCCCGGGAATATCTGGTTGCAGGAGATCCCGGGAATATCTGGTTGTAGGTGATCCCGGGAATATCTGGTTGTAGGTGATCCCGGGAATATCTGGTTGTAGGTGATCCCGGGAATATCTGGTGGCAGGTGATCCCGGGAATATCTGGTTGCAGGAGATCCCGGGAATATCTGGTTGCAGGTGATCCCGGGAATATCTGGTTGTCTCCCGGGGGGATCAGGGAAGAAGTTACTTCCCCCCATAGGAGTGAATTGGATCATGTTTTATTGGGGGAGGGGCTTCCTCTGGATGGACTGTGGGTGGAGGATTGTGTATATGGAGGTTTTTCTCGTTTTTTTCCTGTATATATCCTGTAGAAAGCTGGATTTAGTGAACGTGTCGCCTCCTTTGTCCGCAGGG